AGGCATGAGTTTTACCAGAGGGATCAGCATGAAGGTGAGAGCATTGGGGATTTCGTGGCTGACCTGAGAAACCTGGGCAGATTATGTGGCTTCGCCAATCTAGAAGAAGCCATGAGAGACCGAATTGTCCTTGGCCTGAGAGATCCAACTGTCCAAAACAAGATCATGGCCAAAGGAGACATTTCCCTTGCAGATTCCATAGCAGACGCCACTGCAGCTGAAGCCACTCGAAAATCAGCAGCATGAATGCGCCGAACCAGTGGGGCCAACCGCCAACCCACCAACGATACTGGGAAGTCTTCAGACAAATACACACCGGCCACCCATCATGAAGATGTCGAATCCTCCTCAGACAGTGAGGAGGAAGAAGTCCACAGACTCCGGTCAGAACGTGAGCAACGGGACCAACAGGGTCGTAAATCAAACTACCAATGTGCCGGGTGTGGTGGGAACCACCCATGATCCGAGTGCAGATTCCTAGATGCCATCTTTCGTTTTTGTGAAAAATGAGCACATATTGCTAAGGTATGCAGGAATAAAAGAGGCTCCAGCCCCAGACGGAGTGGGAACAGCCCAAAAAGAACTGATGGCAACCCCACCACATAGAGGGACCGCCCAAGCAACCAGTGGAACCAGTAAAACAGTCCCCGAGGGTTTACTGGTGTAACCAGACGAGAAGAGGCACATCAGACCATCACCATCGGCCACGCTTCATCACTAGATACAAAAAAAATCCGTGTAGAAGTCACCATCGAAAATCAACCGTGCATCATGGAAGTAGACTCCAGGTCTTCCCTATCCATGGTCTCCTGGAAAACCCTTAAACAACTGATTCCCAACATCCGCCGCTGAGATCTCAGCAGTCAGAGACTCATATTAAAAGATTACCAGGGCAACCGGATTCCAGTTGTGGGCACCAGCCATTTCCAGGTCTCTTTCAAGGGACATACTGCAATACTACCACTCACCATTGTTGATAGAGACCGACCAAGTCTACTGGGCCTTCAGTGGTTTACTCCATTAGGAATCGGAATGGCTGGCATCCACCATACCGAAGACGATGACTGGGAAACGGCCCTCATCCAGGATTCCCGGGAAGTTTTCAGCGAAAATTTAGGCAAGTACAAAGGGTCCCCTATTTCATTTAATCTCCGCCCTGACATTGTGCCCATTCGCCTAAAACCACGCCGAGTTCCCTTTGCTCTCAAACCCAAAATTGATGAGCAACTGGACAAATTAATTGCACAAGGTGTGTTAGAACCCATTGATCACGCCCGATGGGAGACACCAATTGTCACCCCCATAAAACCTGACGGGTCTTTGAGAATCTGTGGAGACTTCAAGGCCACCCTCAATCACGCACTGCAGCAGAGCGCCTATCCGGTGCCAGTTGTCCAGCATCTCCTACATTCACTTGGGGGTGGCAGAATATTTGCAAAACTTGATCTGGCCCAAGCTTATCAACAGCTGCCAGTCGATGCCGAAACTGCCAAAGCCCAAACTATAGTTACACATCGAGGCGCGTTCAAATGTAACAGGCTCCAGTTTGGAGTCAGCGTAGCACCAGGCATTTTTCAAAGCCTGATGGAGAGACTATTGCAGGGCATAAAAGGGGTCGTGCCCTATTTTGATGACGTGTTAATAGCCGCCCCAACCAAGAGTCAATTAGAGAAACGCCTCAGAACAGTCCTTCAAAGGTTCAAAGATGCTGGCCTCAAGGTTAAAAAGGAAAAGTGCCAGTTATGCACAGAAAGGGTTGAATTTCTTGGTTACCTCTTTGACAAACAAGGAATTCACCCTACAGAAAAGAAATTGGCAGCCATCAAAAATGCCCCAAGACCCAAAAACAAAACAGACCTTCAAGCCTTCCTGGGACTCATTAACTTTTATAACATTTTCCTACCCCAGAAGGCGACTGTTGCTGAACCCCTTCATAGACTCCTCGATAAAAGGGCCTCCAGGACTTGGGGACGACGGGAGGAACATGCTTTCCAACAAGTAAAGGACCTTCTCACTTCAGATGCAGTGCTCATACAATATAACGAAACACTCCTATTGACTGTGACTTGTGATGCCTCACCTTTTGGGGTGGGGGCCATCTTGAGCCACATCCTACAAAACGGTACTGAGGCACCTATTGCATTTTTTTCAAGAACCTTGTCAAGAACAGAAAGAAACTATAGCCACCTAGACAAGGAAGCCCTTGCAATTGTATCTGCAATCAAAAGGTTCCACGAATATGTATATGGGAGATCATTCTCCATCATCACAGATCATAAACCATTACTTGGCATCCTGGCAGGTGACAAACCTACTCCACACATTCTATCCCCCAGAATGACATGGCGGTCAGAGTTCCTAGCCGCCTACGACTATCAACTGAGGCATCGCCCTGGAAAAACTATTCCCCACGCAGACGCCTTGAGCCACTCTCCACTACCCAAACTGCAAGATGACCCAGCTCCCACGCTACCAATACTACAAATTGAGACAATCCCCTCACCACCACTAACAGCTCAGGACATCGCCTTTGAAACCAAAAAAGACTCATGTTTAGCACGAGTTCTTGGCTGGGTGGAGAGGGGATGGCCAGAAAGCGAGCCCAATGAAACCTTTAAACCCTTCAAGAACAGACAAACAGAACTTTTCTCACAAAGAGGGTGCGTATTATGGGGAGACCGAGTGGTCATACCAGCAAAACTACAAAAAAAGTCCTACAATTGCTACACGATGGACACCCGGGCATCATGTGTATGAAAGCGCTGGCAAGGAGTTATGCCTGGTGGCCAGGTATGGACAAACAAATTGAAACCTGGGTCGCCTCCTGTAACAGATGCCAAGAAGCCCGCTCAGCCCCACCTAAAGCTCCACCAGCAGAATGGGAAACACCCAGAGGTCCCTAGTTGCGTATTCATATCGACTTTGCGGGACCTACAAAAGGGCACACTTTTCTAATAACAGTAGACACATATTCTAACTGGCTCGAGGTTAATAAAATGAAAACAACCACTACAGATGCAGTCATCAAGAAATTGAACAGACTTTTTGCAACACACGGCCTACCCAATGTTCTGGTGTCCGACAATGGGCCCCAATTTACTGCCTTAGCCTTCGAACAATACCTAGCAGACTGTGGCATCCGACATGCACTGACATCGCCGGCTCATCCAGCGGCGAATGGTAGAGCTGAACGAATGGTTCAGTTCACAAAAAACAACTCTACAAAAAATGGAACAAGGAAACATCCACGATAAAGTCACTAGGATGCTCCTTCTCCAGCACATCACACCTAACAGCACAACTAACAAGAGCCCAGCTGAACTCCTGATGGCCAGGAAACTCAGATCGCCTCTAGACTGGTTACACCCTGCTTAGACCCTGGAAAAACCCCTGGGTTCCAGCAGCAAGCACCGCGCCTTTAAGGTAGGAGACCTTGTATTTGCAAAAAAATTTTCAGGGGATCCCCTGTGGATTCCTGCTCAAATAACTCAAGTCACAGGCCCCCGCTCCTACTGCCTACTAACCACTGATGGCAGAGCGTGGAAACGCCACATTGACCAGCTACGTTCCAGACTGACCACAACTTCCATCAGTGACCCCAACCTCGACACCAGGGGGGAAGGGGAAACCGTGAGTCCTGGAATAGAACCAACATCTGGCCCACCAGAACTAACCCCAAGATCACCACATCATAGCTTACAATACTTACCAACTGAAGTAGAGCCTGGGCAAACGAACACTTCACCTAGAAACAGCAACCAAGCAGGCTCAGCGAGCTCGGGGAGCCATAGCAGTAGCAACGAAGCTGACGACTCAACCATCCTGAGGTCACCAGAAGAGAGTCGCAACTATGGCACTGGTTCACTGTTCCAGACAGATCCAGCAAGCAGCCCGTCTGAACCCGAAATTGAACACGGGCAATTGGAATTACGCAAGTCAGGTAGACAGGTGTGAAGACCCACCTACCTGCGAGACTACATAACCCCGCCCCTTAAACAGAACCGAGAGGGGAGGGTTGTTCCGGGCTAGCAGGCTCAAAAGCCTGCAACTCTGATTGGCCCGCTGATAGCGGATCGTGATTGGTCACCTCAGACTGATCCAATTGGCTAGTAAACGGGCTGCCGCGATTGGTCTAACCAAGCATGGCAAACTCAAATCACCGTCATTGGCTGCCTAGCCGCAGCCAGCCCTATATAAGGGACTGCTGCGGCTGGGATATTTCGCTCAGATCTGAAGTCACCAATAAAGAGCTGTTGTTGCTATCTGAGTCTTGTCTCCCTCCTTGGACCTATCCTCCCAGATCTAACAAAACTCAATTTCATTAAGGGCTGCATGGGCATTATGGTTGTTCTCAAAGGGCCAGTTACATATAAGACTACTATGACTCACAGCAACCAAGTGGGCGTTGCCAGCTCCACATTGTTCACTGCCTATGGCTGGGTCAGGATAGAATGAATACCTGAGGGGATTGTTGCTGGATGACGAGTTTGGGGGTAACAATTTTTTTTTCTGGGGCCATTTTGGAGATACTTCAATGAAAGTTTGCAGGTGAAAACTTGCATCCACATAATAATTTTTTTTTTTTGCACTATTTTAGCTTTAAAACTTGATGTTAAAATAACTTCCAAAGCTCTCTTTTTTTGGAAATAGTCTAGGCATGCTTATTTCTTTATTGGTTATGGATAAAGTAAACTGGGAAGTTAAAAAAAATCATGGAATAAAATTCACTACCATCTGATTATCAGAATATTACCAGTGTCCATGGATACCATACTTGACTTGGATACTTTACATTGTATTTTTAAAATGCCTCTGCCTTTTTTAAAGTAATAAGAATAGCACACACTCTGCTTATTATTAAATTAAATTCTTAATGCAGACAATTTGCAATCTTATTTTAGAGTTTGCTTTGGATTGCAGGATTAAATCCTTCTGTTGTTAAAAAATCATATGCATGATTATTAAGCACAAACTATTGTTTATTTGTGAATTTGCTTCAGTTTATGGACTACCTCCTCTGAAAGATGAAAAAAAAAAGTTCAGCTCAAAAGAAAACTTTATCACCCACAAGCCTCAAGAACTGAAGTGGGATTCAAAGCTATTTCTACCCAAAGAGCCCTGGCCTACAAAAGCTTGTTCCTTTACGGTTGGTATAAGTCAAGTTTTGATTCTTCTTTACCTGCACTTGTCCATAGGTGTTTTGAGCATTTTTAAGGAGAATATTAGTTGCCATAGTTTTAAAAACCTCAGCAAAGATTGCCATTTGCTGGAGTTTAACCTACATAGAAACAACTGAGAAAGCAAATATCTAAAGATGTATTAAAAATCTAATTCTAGGGTTTCCTAAGTTTTAAGAGTGATTATTGCCCCTGAACTGAAATTTTGAAAATGTAACCTTTTTGCTTTGCATAGGAAGTATGATCCCCTACAATTCTTATTTAAT